CACTCGACAAGCTCGCGCATCTGCGCCGCCGCGCGCTCAATCCACTCAGCGTGCTTTGTTTATCAGCTCGTGCACATCAGCTATACAGGCGTTAATACTGAATGTTTAACATTATATTCATTGCATACATATACTTCGTAGTAGACATCCTTAACTCCATTCTGCTGTCTGTTGTTCTGTTGTTGGTGTTTCTTTGTCTGAATATGGCGCTTAACACATGCTGTATGGTATCGGCGTTTGGTATCGGGGCATTTTAACGAGTACGAGTACAGGAGACCAGTATCGGGCCCGATACCGATACCAGTATCGGTGCATCCCTAATTATTTCCAGTTTGAAGGATGTGTGATAAATCACAGACGTCATTTATTGTGCCATGTTGAGTGGTTTATTAAAGACAGCTGTAAGTTGTGATTTATGTTTCTGCTAGATGCAGACCAAAATAACCGATACGGGGAAAACTGAAAGTCTGAGAAAATCCTCATCAGAATGGAGAACGGAGCTACATGAACATAACCTGATGCAGACCATCCAAAGAGCATCAAGAACATCTGACAAAGACTCGCATGATCAGTGTCACTCATTTACTGACGCTAGATTAGTCACCTAGAGCGGCAGAATCTGAACGATTTCCAGGTTTTAATGAGGTCTCAGAGTTTTGGATCCCAGTTTATGTTGACGAACGACACTGAATGATTAACATCACACTCTCTCCTGTGTGTGTGCGCTTCAGTGCTAATTCACTCATAGCACATGCTAACGGTTTGTTTTCCATCGCTCTCTTTTTCTGACAGGATGAGGCTGGATCCACAGAAAGAAGTGCGAGCAGTAAACAGGAAGTGGAAGGACTGGGTATGTGTAACGAGTTAAAGTGTTCATATGTAGTGTTTAACTGCAAAAAAATGAGCGAACTAAAATGGCAAAGCAACACACTCAAAGAAATGCTGGGATGTCCATTGCTTTTGTAACTGAAATGAAACCTTTTACTTACACATAAAATGTGTCTGTCAGCGTCCTCGGCTTCTGCTGACCTTTACATCTAGAGAGGAGAATCACGAAACCTTTCACGTCTGTACACAGATACAAGCAGAACATACACCACCGTTTTTTACAGGAGTCTCTTCTGCTCATCAAGGCTGCATTATTTGATCAAAAATACAGGAAAAAAAATTATATTGTGAAATATTATTATGATGTAAAATAACGTTTTTCTATTTTAATATATATTAAACTGTAATGTGTTTCTGTGATGCGCAGCTGTATTTTCAGCATCATTACTCCAGTCTTCAGTGTCACATGATCTTCAGAAATCATTCTAATATGCTGATTTATTATCAGTGTTGAAACTGTTGCTGCTTCATATCTTTTTGGAACATGTGATACTTTTTTCAGGATTCTTTGATGAATAAAAAGTTAAAAAGAAGAGCATTTATTTAAAATAGAATTCAGTTCTATAACAGTTCAAAAGCTTGGGGTCAGTACATTTTTATTCTTTCTTTTTTTGAAGGAAATTAAAACTTATTCAGCGAGGATGTGTTAAGTTGTTAAGAAGAGATAGCAAAGATTTATATTGTTAGAAAATATTTATATTTTGAATAAATGCTGTTCTGTTTAACTTTTTATTCATCAAAGAATCCTGAAAAAAGTATCGCAGTTTCAAAAAACAATATTTGGCAGCACAACTGTTGATAATTCTAATAATAATTCAACATATTAGAATGATTTCTTAAGGATCATGTGACACTTTATACTGGAGGAACGATGATGGAAATTCAGCTGCGCATCACAGAAATAAATGATATTTTAAAGGATATTAAAATAGAAACCATTATTTTATATTGTAATAAAATTTTGCAAGATTAAGGTTTTTTTCTGTATTTTTGATCAAATAATACAAGTCTTACTGATCCCAAACTTTTGACCGGTAGTGTGTATATTTTTTTTTTATGTAAATGATAACTGACAATAGACCAATAGAAGTAAATATGATAGAGGTGTCATAATGTAATTTCTAGTCATCATATGAGCGTTTTACACTGCTGGGTTATCTTGTTGTATGTTTTACAGTGTTCATACTTTACCCTGGGCTAGTAATCAATCCTGGGTTGTCACGTTTTGGCATTTCACACTCTACATTGTTAAACATTGGGTTAATGTTCTTATTTACCTGTTTGCAAAGTTAATAACATCAGTTCTGACAAGTACAGCATCCGCTGATCTGATGTTTCAGATTAGGGATGCGTCGATCCGATATTCATATCGGGTATCGGCTCCGATAGTGCCATTTTTCTCGGATCGGGTATCGGTCAGAGAGAGCCGATCCAAATCTGAGATTTTATTTAATTTTTTTCCCGATTGTGCGAATTATTCTGTGTTAGTTCTGAAGCCATACGATAGCTTAATGTGAGCTACATATGAATATTTAAGTCCTTACATTAAAGTTCACACAAACTCTTTTCTCCGCTGTGGCTGTCAGTCATTCGTTCAGCCTTTAAACCCTGGTCGCATTCGGTTACAGCAGTCAGCTCGGTAAAGCTCTCTCCAAGATCATTCTGTGTTCCCATTATACTTGATTTGTAAATACATGTCTATGATTTTGCAAAAAGGACTTTATCTTCTTGCCTCGGAGGCGAAAAAGGTGGATCGGAGCATCCCTATTTCAGATCTATGGAAAAGTAGTCTGCTGGTCTCAAATTGCCGGAAACATACTACGTACAACAAAAAAAGACAAGATACAGAAAAAAAATTCTAATTTTAATCGTATTTCTATTCATCACTTCAGTGTAGGTGTTTCCCATTGCTGTTTGTGTTTTTCTCAGTTACTGAAACTAAACTTAAAAATAGCTCATGAGGCATTCAGTTAATGATTGGTTGTCTGTTGCTCAATGTTCTAGCATTGCTTTGTTTGGCGCTGCTTTGCTCATAGTGCAGGGTTAAGTGCAGTGCTGAGCCTCTTTCACAGGTGTGAGACGTTGCTGAAATCAGGGGTCATCTGTTAAAAGAGTGGCCTTAAACCAGAGTTAAAGACTCCAGGGATCAGCATATCAGAGTGAAAGTCACCAGACGGATTGTGCTGCTGTTGGTTTGCAGTTGCAGAAATGACTGCGGTTAAGTTAGCACTGACTGTCAAATAATGACATCTGTGATTGCTGGACTTTGACTAGCCTGATTTAGGATGGTCAAGTACACCAACACAACTGCACCTGTGTGGGTTTTTTTTGTCCATTAATGTTTTCCCTATTTTAAAACGGTGCGAAATGTTATTGTGGATGTGTTTACTGTTTGGTTAGGGAATGGGGCGGGGCCTGACGCTGAGACGGACATTAACCTGGAGGTGTCGTTCTCCGAGCAAGCACTTATCTACAAAGAAGGGTTGAAGGTTACCCAGCCCCAGAATGAAGCTGACGACAGGTTACCCGTGAGTCAGACATTCACTCATCAGGTTAACACTCATGTATGTATGTGTGTGTGTGTGTGTGTGTGTGTGTGTGTGTGTGCTGGAGCAGTGCAAGGTTTATGCACCACAGTAAGCGGAGTCCAAGAGATGACTCGCTCTGATTGGCTGCTTGAGGATAAAGGAATTTCGATGCTTATATGGTTATGAGTCTCAGAGACCTTTGATCTGACTGAATATGTTTAGAGTGCAGAAATGTCAAATGAAAGATTTAAAGCATTAGTTGGACGACTGACCTGACACTAATGTGGATCCTCTGATCTGTCTGTGTGCTCTTAATGAGTGGCCTCTGCTGGACAGTCTGTGGCACTGCATGCTGCTCTGGGTTTACTCTCGTTTATGCATCCATTCGCTTTTCAACTTCTTACTGGTGTTTGCCAAAGTAAAACTCCAATTATCACTATTAACTTTAACTTTTGCCTTAATAAACTCATAATTTGCTGCTTACTAATAGTTGGTAAGGTAGTTGTTAAGTTTAGGCATGCGGTCGGATTAAGGGATTTAAAATATGCTCATGCAGGATTAGTATGTGCTTTATAAGTACTAATAAACAGCCAATATGCTAGTAATATGCATGCTAGTTGATAGTGAGAATTGGTCCCTAAACTAAAGTGTTACACAAAAACAACTATTAGGATATTGCATTATATTTACTTGAATGTAGAAGTTGAGTTTGTGCGGTGTTTGAGATCCAGACATGAATGATTCCTCAAAGCAGGTGTCTTGTTGATCAGATGCACCATTTCTGGTGGATGGTAAAGCAGCTAAAAAATTCTGACACTAAAGGAGGGGCGGCATAATTAGAGACTAAAATATCATAGCAGCACCCAACTCACAACTGCTCAGAATACCAACAGATAGCATTTTATATATGTGCACATGTGTTTTTTTCTTATTCTGTTTCTCCTCTGTCTGTCTGTCTCAGGATTTTAGAGTGTCTCAGGATAAGACCGGACAGACAAGAGTAGGCGATCTCTCCGCTGAGGACATGAAGAAGGTTCGCAGGCTTGTTCTGATCGAGATGAGCGCTCTGTTCGACACGTGTGGCATCGAGGTGAAGGCTCATAAAGCTCTCAAGGTCAAAGTGAGAGGTCAGTGCCTCTGAAATGTGTACCAAATCAAATGACTGGATCAGAGAGTCCACTGTATATTTTTCGTGCGCACTTTGCAGAGCATTTCACATCCATTTAGTTCACACACGTGCATGCTGGATACGCACACTCACAAAGCCCCTTAAAAAAGAGCACTTTCATGTCCGAGCTTTCATTGGTATTGATGATGATTACTGTAATTCTGTGTGGACGTGAGCACTGTATCTGATTGTGGATCCTCTTCTGGCTGTATCCGAGGTGAAGCTGGTTGTGACTGTATTGTTTTGTCTTCCGTAGAGTCGGGTTTGTTTGGTGTTTCTCTCTCTACGCTGCTGGAACAAGACCAGCGGAGGATCCTGGGAACCAAAGTGCCTCTTATCCTGCAGCATGTAAGAGAGCAGAGCCTGAACTATAACCAACTAAAACATGACGCTAGCGCAGACCAGGGGTGTTCATAACTCATCTGCCTGACATCCTTTGAGATCGGAAGCATATATGTTTCCCAGCACCATTGCAATATTTATACATAATTATTTTGAGTTTCATGCAAGAAATCTGAATGTTACACCTGCCCTGGCAACCAACCACAACCTCCTTTCTGTATGTCTGTATTTGTGTTATGTACACTACTGTTCAAAAGTTTGGGGTCAGAACTTTTTTTTTTTTTTTAAGAAAATAATACTTTTATTCAGCAAGGACACATTAAATTGATCAAAAGTGACAGTAAATACATTTTTGATACTATTTTTATTAATATCATTACACTTTATTTGCTCTGCTTTATTTTGTGAAGCCGTACTACGTATATGGAATAACCTGGTGCTAAAAGCAATAAGCCCCGTGAAGCCGTGGTTTACAGTGATTTTATAACAGCTAAGGGGGTTTAACTCCGCTTCGCGTCGTACCTAACAACGCCCCTTAGCTGTTATAAATTCACTGTAAACCACGGCTTCACGGGCCTTATTGCTTTATTAACAGATATTCACACAGAAAACAGTTCATTTAAATTGTAATAATATTTCACAATATTACTGTTTTTACTGTATTTTTGATCAAATAAATGGTGAAACTTGTTTCTAAAACATTTTTTAAAAATCTTACCAACCCCGAACTTTTTTACGTTACATGTGATCAGCTAATTTAAGCTAGCACCGAAAAACTCCAAAAAACAAAGACATTAAGGGTTTGTTTTCCAGTTGATCTCTCACATAGAGGAGCAGGGTTTAGACACCGAGGGAGTGCTGCGGATCCCTGGAGCCGCTACTAGAGTGAAGGTGAGACACACTGGCATGCGTTATTTGTGAGGAAGACACGACTGGACGTCATTGTAATGTTTTTGGTGGTGTGTGTTTCCCAGGCCGTCTGTCATGAGCTGGAACACAAGTTTTATGAAGGCATGTTCCCGTGGGAGAGTCTCAAACAGCACGACACAGCCAGTCTCCTGAAGCTGTTCATCAGGGAGCTGCCCTATCCTCTGCTGACCGTCGAGTACTTCAACGCCTTCATCTCCGTGCTGAGTGAGTCCCACACGGCTCGAACGCACGACTCTAGGGATGTAACGATTCACTCAACTCACGATTCGATTCACGGATTTTTTTTTTTGACAAAATGAGATTGAAGACAAATTATAAATTAAATGTGTCGACACAGGATCCTTTTATTATTGCTTGGACAAAATGCTACACGTTTCTTTGTGAAATTGAAATATAACACTATAATAATATAGCACTTGCATATTATTGCTCTTTTGTTGGTTTGTTGATTGCCTCTATTGTCCTCATTTGTTAGTCGCTTTGGATAAAAGCGTCTGCTAAATAACAAAATTTAAATATAAAGTAAATGTAAAAAACAAAACTAAATTGAAATTTTAAAACAAACCCCAAATCAAATAAATAAGTAACACAAATAAAATAAATCTCTTCATATAAACAAAATAAGGCTTTGTCTGTGCTCTTTCCTTTTAAACTTAGAGGCAACCACTGCATTTGAATCATGATACAAGCAAAGATGCTGCATACATGCAACATGAGCAGTTTTTAATCTAAATTAGATTGTATAATTTCGAAATTTGAAGCAAAAGCAAAATGGTTTGACTTCAGTTTTGTGAAACTATACATAAAAAATATCTGCATGAAACAGAAACAGCAGACGAGCTGAACAAGACGCAGATTCACTCTCTGCCAGCAAAATCACATATTTGAATCGATTTTCAACCGGCTCGCGGTTAATCGTTGCATCCCTACATGACTCTATACAGTGCAGCTCAAAGTGTGTGTGTGATCTGTGTTTCTGTGTGTAAGTGATTGTGTTGGTTCTGATCAGAGCTGCCCACTAAGAAACAGCAGCTGCAGGCTCTCAACCTGCTGGTGCTCCTGCTGCCAGAACCCAACAGAGACACTCTCAAGGTACGTCACACCTTCACTGCGCATTCACACTTCACTTTGGGTGGGTGTTTTACTCAACACTGACTCGTTGACATCTGGTATTTGTCTTAAAGTCCCCCTGCAGTCACTAATTTCATCCCATAAAACTTATCTTTGATACTAAAAATGACATATTTGTGACCGTGGACCACAAAACCAGTCATAAGGGTCAATTTTTCACCTGAAAGCTGAATAAATAAGCTTTCCATTGATGTATGGTTTTGTTAGGACAGGACAATATTTGGCTGAGATACAACTATTTGAAAATCTGGAATCTTCTATCATTTTGACCCATACAATGTATTTTTGGATATTGCTACAGATGTACCCCAGCGACTTAAGACTGCTTTTGTACTCCAGGGTCACATTTATACTTTGTTGCCATGAAAATAATTCCTTCATGCCTTAAAATGGCTTGAATGCAACTCTACACTCTTACCTCATTTAGTATGCATGTATCATGAATATGCAAGTAGTCCCCGCCTCCACTGAATCACAGCAGCTCAAAGGCAAGTGGCAATATTGGATTAATTCAGGCATATATGTTTGAACCAGAAACCGATTCTGAAGGAAGAGCGAATTATGTAGGGTCATCTACAAGTCCATGTATCAGTGTGTTAATGCATTTTATGGTAACACTTTAGGGACCAATTGTGACCCTGGAGCACAAAAGCAGTCTTAAGTCGCTGGGGTATATTTGCAGCAATAGCCAACAATACATTGTATGGGTCAAAATTATAGATTTTTCTTTTATGACAAAAATCATTAGAATATTAAATAAAGATCATGTTCCATGAAGATATTTTGTAAAT